TCAAGTTCTTTATAAATTTAAAATGACTAAAGTACCTAAAACTAAAAACCACAAAAAACCATTGTCATCACCAAGTTCTCTAAACCTATCATTTACTAATATTCGTGGTCTTCGAAGTAACTTTTCTTCTGTTGAGTCTTATCTCTTGCAAAGTTCACCAGACCTACTTGCTCTTTGTGAGACTAATTTAAGTTCGGCTGTCCCATCTTGTGATCTTAGTGTTGATGGTTATCTTCCTTTAATTCGTAAAGACTCCAATAATCACATGCTTGGCCTGGGCATCTACATTCGTAAGAACTCACCCATTTGTCGTGAAACTAGGTTTGAATCTACAGACTATTCATTTATGTGCTTTCGTTTAGCACAACTTCACTCTATCGCCTTTCTCTTTGTTCTATATCGCTCTCCTTCATCCCAAGATTGCACTATTCTTGATGTCATTTCTGATCAAATTGACCAAGCCCTCTCTCTTTATCCATCAGCCAATATCGTCGTTGTTGGTGACTTTAATGCCCATCACACCGATTGGCTTGGCTCTAGTGTCAGTGACTCTTCTGGCGTTAAGGCCCTCAACTTTTGCCTTTCTCAATCTCTAACTCAAATAGTCAACTTTCCAACTCGTTTTCCAGACAACCCTAATCATTTACCTTCTCTACTCGACTTATGTCTTGTTTTGGATCCTAGTCAGTGCTCAATTTCTCCACATTCACCCTTAGGTACTTCTGATCACGGTTTGATCTCTCTAAAACTATTATCAAATTCTGCTACTTCATCAGAATCCCCCTATCATCGTACCACATACAACTACCTTAAAGCTGACTGGGACTCTTTCCGTGATTTTCTTCGTGATGGCCCTTGGGTAGAAATCTTTCGTCTTCCTGCTGACAAATGTGCTTCTTACATAACTTCGTGGATTCAGGCTGGCATGGAATCTTTTATTCCCTCTCGACGATTCCAGGTTAAGCCTCACTCTTCTCCTTGGTTTTCCTCACATTGCGCTGCAGCAATTTCTAATCGAAACCGTTACTTCCATATCTATCAGCAAAACAATTCTCCAGAAAACAGACATCTGTTCACTATCGCCAGAAACCATTGTAAAAAGGTTTTGTCTGACGCCAAAACTCGCTATTCCTAGGTCATTAAATCTCGTATCTCATCACAAAAATTAGGCTCTCGAGACTTCTGGAGAATCTTTAACAGTATCAATAATAAGGGCAAATCTGTTATTCCTTCTCTCTTGTATGGTTCAGACTTTGTCACCTCACCTAAAGACAAAGCTGAATTGTTTGCTAAGAACTTTTCATCAATATCATCTCTTGATTCCACTAGTTGCGTTTTACCTGACATAGCCGTCAAACAGGTTGATCCCTTGCTTGACATTCGCATCACTTCAGCTTCTGTATCTAAAGTAATTTCCTGCTTAGACTCTTCAACAGCTTGTGGTCCTGACAACATTCCTGTTGTAGTCTTGCAGAGGTGTTCTCCGGAGCTTTCATTCATACTTTCTAAACTATTTAACAAGTGCTTATCAGAGTCTTGTTTTCCATCATGCTGGAAAGCAGCATCTGTTATCCCTATTTTCAAAAATTCCGGAGAGCGATCTGATTCATCTAACTACCGTCCCATTAGTCTTCTTCCTGTCATAAGCAAGGTTTTTGAATCTTTAATCAACAAACACTTAATCTCTCATCTTGAATCAAATAACTTACTTTCTGATCATCAATATGGATTTCGGTCTTCTCGTTCTACAGCTGATGTGCTAACAGTAATAACCGATAGGTTTTACCGTGCATTAGATAGAGGTGGAGAGGTTAAGGCTATCGCACTTGACATTTCTAAAGCTTTTGATAAAGTTTGGCATGCTGGTCTTCTCCATAAGCTTTCTTCTTATGGTGTAGCTGGTAACGTCTTTAAGATTATTGAGTCCTTTCTTTCAAATCGTAGTATAAAAGTTGTCCTCGATGGACAACACTCTTCTTCACATCCTGTAACTTCAGGGGTTCCTCAAGGTTCAATCCTTGGCCCTATACTCTTTTTAATTTATATTAACGATCTTCCAGATATTCTTACATCTAAGGTGGCATTATTCGCTGACGACACCACCATTTACTCTTGTCATGATAAGAAGCCTACACTCTCTGATTGCTTGGAGGGGGTATCTGAGCTTGAAAAGGATCTCACTTCTGCTACAGCATGGGGCTCACAGTGGCTGGTGAACTTTAATTCAGATAAAACTCAATTTTATTCGGCCAATCGTTATCGTAATAATTTAGATCTTCCTATATTTATGAATGGTAATGTACTAGATGAGTCATCTACCATTCATCTTCTAGGATTAACTCTTACTTCTGATCTTTCTTTTAAACCGTATATCAAATCCATTGCAAAATTAGCATCTGCTAAGGTTGCATCTCTTTATCGAGCTCGACACTTTCTTACTCCAGATTCTATTCTCTATCTCTATAAATCTCAAATCCGTCCCTGTATGGAATACTGTTGCCACATCTGGGGCGGATCTTCTAATGATGCTCTTTCTCTTTTAGACAAGGTGCAAAAACGAATTGTAAACATAGTTGGACCTGCTCTGGCAGCCAATCTCCAACCTTTGTCACATCGTCGTAATGTTGCTTCTCTTTCTCTTTTCTACAAATACTATAATGGGCACTGCTCTAAAGAGCTAGCGTCCCTTGTGCCATCTACTAAAATTCATTCTCGTGTTACTCGCCATTCAATTAAGTCTCATCCTTTTTCTGTGACTGTTCCTAAGTGCTTCAAAAACTCTTATTCTTCTAGTTTTTTTCCTCGAACATCAGTTCTTTGGAATTCGCTTCCTTCATCTTGCTTTCCTGGTTCATATAATTTGCAATCTTTTAAGTCATCAGTCAATCGTTATCTTGCTCTACAGATTTAGTCTTTTCTCTTCCAGTAACTTCCAACTCTTATAGTGGTTGCTTGCAGCCTTGTTGGAAGTGAAAATGTTAAAAAAAAAAAAAAAAAAGAATAGGATAATAGTTTTAGAGAGATCAAACTGTGATCAGAAGCTTTTAAGGGTGAATGTGGAGACACTTAGCACTGACTAGAATCAAAAACTAAACATTAGGCGGGTAGAGAAGGTAAATGATTTGGATTGTCTGGAAAGCTTGGCTCACTGATACTAGAGCCAAGCCATTCAGTGTGATGAGCGTTAAAGTAACCATATTGGCTAATGGATAAAGAGAGAGGGCTTGGTCAATTTGATCTGAAATAACATCAAAAAGAGTGCAATCTTTGGATGAAGGAGACTGATATAGTACAAAGAGAAAGGTGATAGAGTAAAGTGGTGCTAAACAGAAGCACATGAAAGAATAGCCTGTGGGTTCATACCAAGTTTCCAGACAAATTGGTGAATTTTTACAAATGTAGATGCCCAGGCCAAGCATGTGACTATTGGAGTCTATATGAATTAAAGGAAGATAACAATCAACACTAAGATCACAAGATGAGACTGCTGAACTCAAATTAGTCTCACAAAGAGCAAATAGGTCTGATGAACTTTGCAATAGATAAGACTCAACAGAATAAAAGTTACTTTTAAGACCACAAATATTAGTGAATAATAGATTTAACGAAGTTGGTGTTGGCAATGTTTTTTTGTGTTTTATAGTTTTTATTACTTTATTTATTTTTAAATTTTTTAAAGAACTTGAGTGTGCATTGACTCAAGTTCTTTAACAAATTTAAAAATAAATAAATTAATAAAAACTATATAGTACTCAGTACATATTTAATAGTCCAAGCAATTGCCTTATTACTATTAATAAACCTTAAGCCTCTTTAATAGCTACCACAGAGTTTAAGAAATCTGACTATCAGCCTGCTTCAGAACCATAAAACTGAGTTTTAAAGCTGTACCCTCATTAGGAGATAGTAAAATGAGTTGCCTAATCATAGAAACAGAGACGCAAGTAAAACCCATGCATTGAGTCAAGGTGATCCAGCATTCAACATGCTAAATTGGAAACAATTTATTATAAATACATCTACCCCAGCCTAATATATAAAGAATAAGTGCAAGGCTAGTCAACAGATAGAATCTGTTTACCTCTTAAGACTTTGCCTTTGAGGCCTTCTAAAAGACAGTAGTCAGATGTGTTTAACATCTGTCAATGATGAGTATTTTTATTGAGACACCATCTCTAGCTTTTACTCAACCAAGAGTCCCAAGGCAAGGGGTGTTTGAAGTCTAAGTTGGCTTCTTCTAGCATTTGTTTAAAAAATGTATCCTTCAAGGCAGCAGGGCATGAAGCAGGTTGTACTGGGTTACATAATACCAGTAGCACGATAATCTGACCTGACAGTAAAAACTCCCCCAAAAAAAAATCATTGAATTTTGGGAATTTTAAACCTCTCAAGAATTCAGTATTATATGTGGTGCTATTGAGCTAAATAACACTCTGATCTACTAACAAAGCATTTAAGTACAAAATGCCATTCTGCTATATTCATTATCAACTTTATTATTCTTCGTAACAATAAATTTTGATTTATCAAAAACCATTATTCAAAATTATACTCTTTTTATATTGTTAATGCACAATGTTGTATTTGAACAACATCTGTTTACAGAATGATATTTCTATTCAGAGAAGACAAACAAAAACCAGTAAAATAAATCTAGTGTCAAATATCATTTGTGAATTTTTTCAGAAGTACAGGATAAATCCAACTAGTCAGAATTTTCATTTGAATCTTTAAAAATTTTGAAGGCTACATGCACCAACAAACTTGCCAATCAAAATAACAGTCACACCTATCAAGACAAAAAATCAAATAATTCTTTAACACCGACCATCTGTGCTCGTTATTTTACATACATAATCATTCATTTAGTTTAAAGCACCTTATAAAGAGACATTAGTTTTAATTTGTTGTTCTACAACAACCCACTGTGTGAAAGGGATATAATGGAATGGTTTTTTTTGTTAAAATTACAGTGAATTACATAATTATTTTATACTTAGATAGTTGGTCAACCAGCCAAACAATATATGGTTAAAAATCCACTTAGTTGCATTTCTAATATTAAATCCTGTGTTGGACAAAGGTAAGGAAGTTTTATTAAAAAAAAAAGATATTGTTGATACATTTTTTAAAATTAATTTCTTCTTTTCTTTGTTTTATTTTGATTATTCATAAAAATATTTTGTACTACCGTTGAACTTTAGTTGCATAGCAATGCAAAAGTTAATAACAATAATCTATAAATCAATGTAAAAATATTATTCATCTTTACATACATTACTATTAATCAGTATGCTAAAATAAATATATATGAAAAACCAAGCATTTAACACATCAATGCTTGGTGTAGTTAAGGCAATTTTAAATTATTCTAACTCTTTAATTTAGAATTAACATGGTTTTGTCTTTTTTTTTAAATCATAAGTCTATATATATATATATATATATATATATATATATATATATATATATATATATATATATATATATATATATATATATATATATATATATATATATATATATATATATATATATATATTAGGGTGGTGCACAAATATATTGACAATTTCAAAAGTTTCAAAAATCAATGTGGTACTTTTTCCTATTGTTCGTTTTATCATTATATTAATTCCTGCAAAATTTAAGCAAATTTGAATGACTTTTAGAGGTCGCTCATGGCCATGTTTCCTCTTTTAATTGCCATTATTTTCCTATTCTAACGTTACTGTGAAGTTTTTAATATGTACATTTGTTTATTTATTTTATTATGACATAACTCTTAATTTGATTTAATTTAATTAATTATGATAATTATTTTAATCGATTTTAAATATTTTTTAAATATATATTTTTAATTTAATAGTGTGCAACTATCTTTGACAATATACCGCAAAGCATTTTAATTTTTGTTCATATGAGTGCTGATTTGAGGCTTTAAAAAAATAAATTCATTTTGTGATAACAATTGTTTTACTCAGGTTATATTTTGATTTTCAGAAATATCCTGTAATATGAATTCTCAGTTATCTTTCCCTTCGTTTTCAAAAAAAATTGAAACTCGAACAACTACTGACATTTATCTTGTTTGGTCTGTTTCTCCAAATATTTCTGGGATGAAACTTCCAACATGTCGTCAAGTTCTTGCAGTATTTTTTCATCTTCACAAAATAGAAAAACAAACCGTTAGACAAAGTGCAAGGTGTGTCATTCGAGAAGTATTTCATTTGTGGAATATGGCAAGAATTCCAACAACTATTGAACGTAATGCAATTGAAAAACTTGAAAATATTTTTTACAAATGGGCTAAAATAAAGAAAAACATGAAACGAGCTTCGGCAACACAAACAGCAAATGAAAATGTTTTTGTGAAGAAATTGATCGCATTTTTGATATAGCACATGCTGATGCCATGGGTTTGATTACAATTGAAGAAGACAGACTATTTCTAATAGATTAGCGAGGTGAACGTAAGGGATACATGGCCAGAGTTGACATGGCATTGGCAAAAACAGAAGAACGTGTCCAGAAAAGAAAAGAATTAGAAGAGTCCAGACGTTTTCAGGAAAAAAAGCGAAAAAAAGAAGCTGAAAATACAAGTCACATTGATTCAATGCACCTATCTGACAAGTCTACATCTGGCACTGAAACTTCAGATGAAGAATTTATGAAACCAAAGAAATCTAATCAAAATGTTGTAAAAAAGCGATCACAATCTCAAAATATCATTTCACCTGAGTTAGCATCTGCTCTTGACCGAACCAATGTCACGGATGGTCAAGCGACTTATTTACTGGCAGCTGCAGCAAAAGGTTTAGGTCATGACATTACAGATTTTGCTATTAGTCGCGATACGATCCGGAGAGCTAGAATTACTAATCGAAACAAAATTGCTACAACCATAAAGTTTGCATTCAACTCGTCAAATGTTCCATTGACTGTTCATTTTGATGGCAAAATATTGCCAAATATTACTGGAAGAGATTCAGTTGATCGATTAGCAGTTGTTGTTACAGGTTACAACGTTGACCAGCTTCTTGGCATTCCAAAGTTAACAAGGGGTACTGGTAAAGCAATAAGTGAAGCTGTTATAACAACTTTACTAGATTGGGACATTCAAGACCGAGTTAAAGCAATTAGTTTTGATACAACGGCTGCCAACACTGGTACCGAAGCTGGAGCGTGTACTTTAATTGAAAAAAAGCTTAATAGAGAACTATTACACTTGGCATGCCGTCATCATATGTATGAAATCGTCTTGAGGGATGTTTTTAAGCATTCTCTTGGGCAATCCAGTGGTCCTGAAATAGGATTATTTAAACGTTTACGTGACAAGTGGTCATTAATTGACAAAAATAATTATGAAACAGCGTTAAATGATCAAACATGTTCGGACATTTTGGCTTCTCACACCATTCTCAAACAGGATGCACTATTTTATTTGAAAACAATTCTTGAATCTGGTAAACAATATCGAGATGACTACAAGGAATTGTTGGAACTAACCTTGTTGTTTCTTGGTGATGTTCCTCCTCGTGTAATGGCTCCCGGAGCCATACACAGAGGAAGGTGGATGGCCAAAATTTTATATTCAATGAAAATATGGATGTTCAAAAGGCAGTTCAAATTAACGGCAAAAGAAGAAAAATCACTTTGAGGTATTAGCTTGTTTGCTAGTTTGGTGTACACCAAATTTTGGATATCATGTACCAATCCAACACTTGCTCCGTCGAATGATCTCACTTTCTTGAAGACTGTTTTTCAACATAAAGCCATTAACAATGGAATTTTTACAGCTGCAGCAACAGCATTTTCGAGGCATTTGTGGTATCTAAGTGAAGAAATGGTAGCATTGGCTTTTTTTGATAAGGAGATCAGCAAGGAAACAAAAGCAAAAATGGTTTTGGCTCTACAAAATGCTGGAGAGGATGAACCACAGAAAAGAATAAAAATCGATTTAACTTCAATTGAAAATCTGCAAATAGAAAGTTTTGTAACAGAGAATACCTTAAATTTTTTCAACATTTTGGAATTACCAACTACTTTTTTGACAACTGTTGATCCTGACAAGTGGACCGAAAATGAAGAGTTTCAACAGGCAGAAAAAATTGTAAAAAGTCTACGAGTTGTTAATGATACGGCTGAAAGAGGAGTAAAACTAATTCAGGATTTTAATTGTTCAATTACCAAAAATGAAGGACAAAAGCAATTCTTGTTGCAGGTAGTCTCTGAACACAGGTCAAAGTTTCCTCTGCCACAGAAATCTTTGTTGATCAATTGAACCAAGTCATCAAAAAACGATGGCAACAAAAACCAATGAATTTTTTTTCATAGATTACTTTTTGCAAAGAAGCTGAAATATAAATGAAACCTAAAACTATAACAATTTTTAAGATTTTTTGGAACTATTATTGTTTTTTAAATTTGTCTTTACTATAGTGAACACAAATACGTTATTATAAACCAGAAGTTTATTACTTTATTCTTCAATTATTTTATTTGTAAACAATATTATATATAATTCAGTTTAAAAAATACTGCATGGTTTTGGATTAATATACATTAAGAGTTAAAATGCGATGTTTTATCATAATTTATTCAAAATTTGGGATTGCACACTAAAAGAGAACTCAAACCCAAAAAGTAAAAAACTTGATGTTGATGAGCAACCTTTAAAAATTATTCAATCATGCCCAAACTTCACGATTGTTATTCCTACACATAATGTCACATAAAGAAATGGTACCATCAAAGAAATTTAAAAAAAATTTTTTTTGCACCACCCTAATATATATATATATATATATATATATATATATATATATATATATATATATATATATATATATATATATATATATATATATATATATATATATATATATATATATATATATGTTTATATATATATATATATATATATGTATATATATATATATTATAAAAATCTTTTTTAGCTTTACATCAGAGCAAATGCAGAAGATTAAAACAAAGTGCTCTTGTCATGTAAGATGTTTCAACTGTTTTTTGAATTTTTTTATTAGTCACGCAAAATGCTTTTACAAATTAATTCTAATGAATGAACAAATTTTATTTAAAGTACTAAAAAGTGTTGTATATATATATATATATTTTAAATTGTATAAACATTTTTTCCAAATAGTTGCACAAAAAAAAAATTGTTAAAAAAAATGCAGTAGTCTATATAAAGTTATAATTTTTAGTTATTTCATGCTTTAATTAGTTAGTCAAGTTAAAAAAAAAAAGTTTAAACAATTCTTTTTAAAAATAGAAACAAATTACAATAAAGTAATTAATTCATTCTATTTCAAAAAAATTTTAATTTAACTTATTCATAATACTATTCATAGTATTTAAAAAAATTATCTTTCAAAAGATTTTTAGAAAGACATAAAAAAGTTTCAAAAAAATTATTATATTTAAATTTATCATTAAAAAAAATATGACTACATAAACAAAATTTAAATATAACATTATTTGTTAATTTACGCAAAGTATATTTATTATAAATAATCACTATAGTTACTTTTTTATTTTATTTAAAGCCTTCGCATAAAATAAAAACTTTAGAAAAGATCAATGATTAAAAGTTATTTATAACAAAATCATTTTTTATACCATTTAAATTAATAAAACATCAAAACTGCCGTGGTCAAATTGTAAAGAAAAATATTATAAGATATTTTATATATATATATATATATATATATATATATATATATATATATATATATATATATATATATATATATATATTATATTCAACCCTCGGAATTAGGGTCAGCATTCGGTAATGCCGACCTAACTGCTGACCTAAAAGTGTTTGAGGTTGGTAAATATTGCCGATCTCATTTCTATGTTTTATGGTAAGACCTTTTTATCAAATTTTTTTTGCCGGTCTGATGCCGACTTTTAAAAGATTGAGGTCAACAAATTATTGCCGACCTCATTTTTTCTAATTCCAAAGGTTGATTATATTATATATATATATATATATATATATATATATATATATATATATATATATATATATATATATATATATATATATATATATATATATATATGTATATATATATATATATATAATTTAAATGAAAAAATACAACTTTTTAATAGAACTTTAAGTTTCGGTCGATGCTATTCGCACGGCCGCCATGTTCCAATTCTAAAAAGGCTATTCGCACGGCCGCCGTGTTCCCATTCTAAAAAGACTATTCGCACGAACGCAAAACCAAATCTTGCAATCAATTTTTGAGTCACTTCCTGATAATAGATTTTCTTCAAATTTTGCATACATACTCTTGCCTGACGACAATACAATATTCAATAATTAGTTAAGCAATAACTTAACTAATTTAGTTAATTTTAATTAAGTTTATTTTTTATATGGAAAGAAGAATTTAAAATTTATAAATAAGTATACTAATTGTTTAAACACTTAAATGGGCGTTTAGCTTATTTGGTAAAGTTGCCGAATTCGTAAACTGAAGGTTGGAGGTTCGAGTCTTGGCTCTTCCTAGGTAATTTTTGTTTTTTTTACACACGCATACAGCCGAATGTTAATCAAATAAAATAGTATTATCAGAAAAAACTTATTGCAAAATTTGTGTTTTTAAAACATATAAAAGCACTGGGTTTTAAAAATTAGTTTTTAATTTTACTTGTTCTTTTCGCGTTTTTTTTAGAATGGCAAAGAATTTTATGTAAATGCCAAAGCTGTCATTTTTTTTCAGGTCTTCCTTTTCAGCTTTTAATTTGTTTTGTTGTACCTATTAATTAATTCTAAAGTTACCTATTTCAAATTTTGCCAATTTGACCGTGCAAACACCTTTTCTTAACTGTTTATATGGCAGCCATGTCAATAGTCTTTTTTAAAAGTTGTACACAGCGGGCTTGCCAATAGACACTATCTAAAGTTTCATCCCTTTTGGCAATCAGCCATATTATTCAAAAATATAAAAAAGATTTTATATTTTTGAATAATACGGCTGATCATTAATCAACCAACATGTACAACTAATAGCAAATCATTAATCAACCAACATGTTTCTTCTGCTTCTGGACACTAGAGACCAAAAAAAAAATAAAGTTATAAAGCCGTAGTCCTTTTTTGGACTCCGCATCTCAGATATATATATATATATATATATATATATATATATATATATATATATATATATATATATATATATATATATATATATATATATATATATATATATATATATATATATATATATATATATATATATATATATTGAATTTTTTTATTTTAAGTTACTTCTTTTTATGGAGACATTCAAAGCAGCTATATTATTTATTAATTAGTAATATTTCAAGACCTATACAGTACCACATACAGTTTCATCATCAAACTACAAAAATGTGTTTATAGTCTAATGATAAAACTACCTCTAAATATTAATAATTGATAAATAAATAATTGTTTTAAATGTCTCTGTAAAAAGAAGTAATTTAAAATAAAAAAAAGAGTGTATATATAAATATATATATATATATATATATATATATATATATATATATATATATATATATATATATATATATATATATATATATATATGTATATATATATATACATATATATATATATAATGAAGTATAACAGGAATTTATGGAATTTGAAGTTTCATGTCTTGGCAATCATCAGCCATAAAATACAAATTTGCAATTTTCCATGACTATTATTATTTTGCAGGTCTCGAACACTAAAAATGTTTTTTCTTATCAAGTCAAAGTAGATGATAATTATATTAAAGTGTCTCCTGTTGAAGCTGCATCATATATATTTACAAAACTTCTAGGTATGTATTTAACATTTAAGCTAATATTTAAATAATTTTGAATTGTCAAAATATTTAAAATAACTATAGATTTGATTTTATTTGCTAACTTTATAGAATAATTTAGTTTTAATTGTTTTCATCTATAAACTATCATTTAGATAGCGTTTTTTGTACTTACTAACTTTGTAATCATAATTGCTGTCTGTGTAATGTTAAGCTATGTCTTTGTAATTTTAATCACTGTCTGTGTAAAGCTGATAAAAACTAATAAAAGTATTAATATTCACTGTCTGTATAATCTTAGTAACTCTCTCTGTGCAATATTAATTACTGTCTGTGAAATATCAATCACTGTCTCTTTAATTTTTTTTTTTTTTTTCTGTGACACAACGGTTGTATTTAGGTGACAAACAAAGACATCCGGTCATTATTAGTTAAATAGGTCAAAAGCCTTGACTCTTAGCTAAAAGAGCAATTTTAGCTTCAAGCTCATAGTCAGCAATCACTGATCCAAACAATGATCCAAACTAGCCTGTCTGTATTGTCCTAGTCAAGTACATTTGGAAAAATTGTAAATTACCAATCAGAAAGATTTCATTATTTTTGTTTCTGCAACACTATGGTTGCATACAAGTGATCAATGGAGCTGTTTAGTTAGGTAGACACGGGAAAGGTGGTTCTAGGCGGGAAAGGTGGTTCTAGGAATAAATATTAAATATAGTATCAATTAGTAAGAATCCAAAAGAATAGATATCTAAAGGAGTAGTGAGACATGCTCTAAGTTGATAAATAATCTTATATATGGGGGAGAAAAAAAAAGTTTATGTATGAAATTAAAATTAAATGTGACTTAGTTTGCTAAACTACTGTGCTACCGTATCAGTCAGCATCACTAAAGTATTTTAATATATAATAGTGTTTTGTCTTGTTTTGTTGTCCATTGTTTTATTATACATTTTTTTTTTGTTTGTTTATTTTTTTATTTTTTTTTAGCTATTGTTTTATATTTTATACTTATGTCAGTTTCATTTATGTGTACAGTCATGTTTTATTTTAAAATTTTACTTTCATGTTTTTAATTTCAAGTTTTAGTTTCTTGTTTTAGTTTCATATTTTAGTTTCTTGTTTAATATTCATAACTGATTTTTAGTAACGTATTATTTGAAAAATAATGTTTTAGAAATAGGAGAGTTAGTTGGAGGAAGTGAGCTGGAGGATGTTGTTTTAACTGTGCCTCATAACTTTTCTGAAGATCAACGAATATCTCTTTGGTAATTATTTTTTCCTTTTGTTTTACTTTTATTGGGTTAAAAGAATAAAATAAATTTTAATAACATATTTTTGAGGTTTTTATAATCTTCCATTAAATTACTCAAATAAAAATCACTGTTCTCTATCCTCATTATCAAAAATTTGTATTTAGGAAATTTAAACTTCTGTTCACTCTTTCTGTGAGTACTTGGACATTTGCTTTCAAACATTAATCAGTTTAATTAAAATATGTATTTTTGGTAAAATAAAACATTTAGCAATAATAACTTGCAACATGTTAATGGGTTAAAATTTTTTATTTATAAAATATTTTTATCATGATGTTTAATAAGTGCTAGTATGCCTAAATATACTAATATAAAAATACTAAAAAAATAAAATATATCAATTAAAGTTAACTGCGCCAAATAGTTGTTGAAAATTTAATTATTTTTTAACTTTGATTGACTCTTAAGTTTAGCGAATTGGTTAAAAATGTTACGCAAATTATAATTGGCCATTATAATGAAAAAAAAATTTTTTTGTTTTTGTTTTTGTCTGCATTTGTAAATGTCAAGCATGTTTTCTTTGCTTACATTTACATTTAGTTCTTATTAGCTATACCATTGTTAATATCACCTTTAGTGGCAGCTTTTAATGTGTTCAAGCAATTTATATATATCTTTTGACCAGTTACATTGTCTTTATATTGCAACGCTAGGTACTTCAGCACTTCTGACTTTGTACTTCAGTACTTCGGGCTATATTTTTCAATGATTAATAATTTAACTGTTATAAAAAGAATTAGGTTTAGGTTTTGTGCTTATCTAACTGTAAAATGTTAAAAAAACCAAAAGATATGGTTCAAGATTATCAATTTAAAAAGTAATATTGCAAAATCTTTTCAGTTTCTAGTGTTTTCCAGTTTCTTACAAGATATATCTGCCATATCTGGAAATATTTCTGGTTATTAAATTCTCAGTTGATTTAAAACCGTTGTTTTAACAAAATGGTCAATTTATCATATTGCAAAAACTAATGAAAACACAAAAGAATAAATTTACTAATGCAAAAATAATAACAGTCAAAGCTTATATATTTTTAACTGTTGTTATTTTAAACACCAGGTAATTTAAGGATTATAATTAAAAAATGTATATATATAAAGAAAGAAAAAAAAGTTACTGAAGGTTCAAAAATATGCACGGTAATTTAAAAATCTACCAATAAAAAGTTATGCTAAAGCTATTTGTGCATTGTATGAAACATTAAAATTGATTTTTGTTTAGGAGGAAAGTTTGAGAAATTATTTATTTAAAAATTTAAATGCTTTAAACTAGAAATTAATTAATTATTAATAAAAATAATAATAAAAAAGATATTTTAAAAAACCAAAAAATAAGATAAAAGTATTTTTTTAGTGAAGCAGCTGAAAATATTGGGTGTAATATCCTTCGAGTAATTTCTGAACCTGCTGCTGCATGTTTAGCATATGGTAAAAACTTTATAATATATTTAAATAATTGTTATTATCTTATAATTTATAATTTAATACTTGTTTATATTTTGATAAAAAATATATATGTAATTAGTAAAAAAAAATTGATTTAGGGATTGGTCAAAATGATCCCTTAGAACATAGGTATTGTTATTGGTTTTTTTATTTTTGTCATTAAAAATGTCAGTAATATTAAATGCGTTGAATTAGTTATGTTGCAAATGCATTTGTATCTATAATTTTTAATACTAGATTTGATAAAATTTATATTAGTATTACTTAGTTTGTATGACCATTATAATAAATTTTTTCAGATTTGCCTAAAGTTAAAAAAACATTTTTTCAAATATACTAGTCAAAACATGTAATGGATTTTAGCACACTAAATCTGTGAGAGAAAAAATTATTTCTTGTTTTTTTTTTCATTTTTTTGTTTTAAATTTAGTACTGTGTTAATATATCGTCTTGGTGGCAGTTCAATGGATGCATGCATAATGGAAGTTATAAATGGAATGTACCACATGATACACTACAAATCAAATAGTGATTTTGGTTCAAATGAGTTTGATAATGTCTTAATAAAATACTTTACTGAAGAGTTCAAAAGGTATGCATATTTAGATATTTGAGGCAAAAGTTGTGAAAGTTATATTTTTTTGATTTACAAGAAATTACTATGGCCAACAATATTATGTGGCTCTGATTTTTTCACTAGTTGTGCATGCCCATTCATTTTTGAATAATTACAATGAATGAAATGTTTTCTTTTTCCTAAGTATTTTTCTACCTTATCTTGCAACTTTGTTCTTATGGGTTGTTCACTTTGTTGGAAGCTTTGATAAGCATGCATATGCATCTGGAAAATTAAAAAAATTATGAGTAAACATCTGAAAAAAGTATCTAATAAATATCTAATCTAATTTAGTTTTTAAAAAATATTTATAATAATATAATAATATTTAGTCCTAAATGTAGTAGTAGTTCAGTGGTAGAGCGCTTGCTTGTTTTCTTTATTTCTACCGGTAACACAGTCTGTTTCTCTGTACAATGTTCTTGCTCATTAGGGTGTATGCTTTAAAATCATATGAATTTAGAGAGGGATTTTTAAAATTTAGAAAAATTTAAAAATGATTTTATAAAGTTAATATACTTTGATATTCTCTTTTGTTTACTCTTATTTATTAATGTTATTATTACTTGTATTTTATTTGTTTATTACTTATTGTCATTTGTTTACTGTTACTGTTGCTTGTATTTTGTTTGTTATTATTATTACTTAGCTTGTTTTTGTATTAGATGAGATAAATCAGATACTGATTTTTGTCACTCCTTTTTGAATATTTTCAAATATATATTTTCAAGATATGAAAAACATACTTTTATTGAAATTTCTGAGGTGTATAACTGAAATACGGCAGCCATATTTAATTCACCATCTTTATACTTTAAATGGTTTGCTTATTATACCAAATTTATAATTTGCATTAGATGATGCAGTTTTGATTTCTGAAATTAAAAATTTTCATTTCGGCTTTGGCTTCGGCATGCCGAAGCTTCTGCAATTTTGCCGAAGCTTCGGTTCGGCCGAAGCCAGGTCAATTTTTTTGCCGAACCTTTGTCTTTGGCAAAAAATTTTAAGTAATTAAAGTTCTAAGCTACTGTTGGACAAGTTATAAAAATACGCTAATTGCCAGTGTCTAATTAAGTTATAAATTCAGGACTACAAAGTTAAAGTTGTAGTCTATACCATATACTTAGTATTATTTACTCCCAATAATCTTGTTATGGAGGGGATAATAATAAATAAGTAAAAATATTTTGAAAATAATAATAAAATTAGGGAAGGTCCTCATACACTTTGAAAGCTTTTAAGTGTGACTTTAGATGAACTGAATCAGCATTTTTATGCAGAATAAAAACCTTATAATTTAAAACAAATTAAATGTTTTTAAAACCTTAATTTGTATTATGTAACGAATTCGTATTAATTATTGTGTGGGATTATCGCAAATAGAACAAAATTTGGTTTCAACATTTGACCTATAAACCTTAATATTCTCTCTTTAAGGAAGATTAAAGATACGTTGCTACTATTTTAAATTGTGTGTATGTTTAATTTTTTTTAATTTTATTTAACCATATTAATAAAAGTTTACAAATTTTCATCGTAAATTTACAGAAATTGGTTAGGTGTCACTAATATAGATACAAACTAGTCAATGGAGTGACACATAAAAAACATAAAGTTCTCAACAACAAAAAAGAAGAAAAGCAAATGAAATATAAATGAGGAGAATAAAAAAAAAAAAAAAGTCAACAAAAACTAGATAAATTAAAAGAAAAAGAAAAACAATGATAATAATTATCCTTTTTCTTTTATTAACATTGTGAATACTTCTAAATTGAATTTATATATTAAACATGTAAACCTATATTCTGGCTTCTTCTTATGATATTATGAAGACTTTTAAATTTTATTTAAAATAAATTAAAGGTTGAAGCTTTGATTACTTTGAGCTCTTATATTTATCACCAAAATTTATTTAAATTAAATAAACAATTTAAATCAAATAAATATCAGCCTGCTCAGTCCCTGTTTATTTATAAATATAAAGTAAATAATAATATAATTATAAATAAAAAATTTATAAAGTATTCTATTTATTATTTTATTTAAAGCTCACTCTACAGAGTTGTTAGATTACTATAAAAGCTTTTATCACAGATAGTTAATACTTGATTTCAAATACTGATGCAGATTTATCCATTACAGAGACAGAAGAAGAGTGAATACTGAGATTTTAGAGTGCAAAAGATTAAAAGAAGCTAAAGAAAATGTTATGTAGTGTAAAGTTAAAAATAATAAAATAAAAAAAAAAAAAATACTTAAAAGTGTGTAAAAAAGAAGTTAGAGAGAAATCTATCATTTGTACTTTTTTTTAGCAGCAGGTTCACAACAGTTGTAGTGGAATACAAAATAATCTTAACTTGTTTTTTTTTTTTTTTGTTTAGAAATTGTTCGTTTAATGAATACAGAGAAGTATAAAAAGATATTGAAATAAATAGCAATAAAAAGATAAAGTGTGTTTGTAAGATTTTTTAAGTTGTAGATACAACTAGATCAGCTAAAAGTGTTTGTTTAAAGAAAGAGTGATCAAGTGCAAAAGATAAATTTATTCTAGTAATGCTCAGAGATTTTTATCCACTTCTATTAACAAAAGGTGCATTAAAAATAAAAATAAAATATACAGCACATGAAAAGACTTGAAGTAGGAAAATTTGGGGAGAATGTTTCAAAAAAGCTTAAGTTTAAAAAAAAAACGCTTGGTGCGGTCAAGTATAAGAAACCACATAATGAGAAACTTTCAAACAGGGGCGCTAAGAGCTTTTGCCCTGCCTGGGACAGCAACCATGACTGGCATCCTTATTTTTATACGATTTTTCTATATTATTAGTCAAGGACCTTAGTTTTGGTACCTTTTTTGTTTTACAACCCTGCTGATCTGAATGCTGAGTAAATTTTAAGCATATGCTGATTAAATTTTAAGTGCCGAAGCTTCGGCTTTGGCAAAATTTTAGCTTCGGTACATCCCTATTTTTAACTTCAGCTATTACTTTACTATTGTCTGCATATAACATTTAATTTATAAGTTAAATTTGATCATTAATATTGTTCATTAATATAGATATTATAATCTATATTAAAGATAAAATTTTTAATAAGATTATATAGTCTATATAGATTATATATCTATATTAATGTTCAACATTAATATAGATTTTTTTGATCTATATTAAAAATTTAGTTATTAATTTTATTTATGGATTGATATAATTAGCTGTGCCCACATAAATATGTGCTATTGTTTAAAAAACATTAGCACATATTTATGTGGCCACAACTAATTATATTTATGAATTATGATACACCTCCAAATACAATCCTTTGCTTTTTATCAATTAAATGTTTATCTACCCATAATAAGGATGTAATCAATCTTCAAGTTTTTGTACAAATATTATGTGTGCCACAATCAAAAGTATTTGTGTAACCAGTATAAAGAATAATAAATGATCATTTGAAACTGTTATATTTGTTATGCATTCTAGCAAATAACTTGTAAAAGTTTCTTCAAATTTTATGTCCTAGGCATTGATCTTATAATAAGGCAGGTTAGGCTCTTTAGCCTGGTGGTGAAGTTAACCTAAGAGAAGAAAAATTTTGATATAAACCTTTGGTTTAATTGGGGGTAAGGGTAGGAAAAATTTTTAAACCTTTGATGGTAATTTTTTTTTGTATGATATTTTCTGTTTTAACTTTCAGTAAACCCCTATATAAAATTTTCTATAATATTTTATTGCTTAGAATTCTTAATCATTTTAATCATTAATTTTTTTTGTTTGTTTGCAGAATACATAAAGAAGACATCTCTGAAAATAAACGTGCTCTTGGTAAATTAAGTGCTGCTGCTGAAGATTGTAAACATGGTTTATCAAAACTACATACAATTGCATGTGCAGTAGATTCCTTACATGATGGTATTGATTTTCATTGTCAGCTTCCAAGGTGAACTTACAAAAATAAATTTATTTTGATCATTGTTTTATCAACGTTTTATCAATGAGTATTTTTGTTAACTGTATGAGTGCCCTTATTTTGCAAAGTTTATACTCCATTCATTTTTAATTTTATGATGATTTGTATATATATATATATATATATATATATATATATATATATATATTATATATATATATATATATATATATATATATATATATATATATATATATATATATATATATATATTTTTTTTTTTTTTTTTAACATCTTCACTTCCAACAAGGCTGCAAGCAACCACTATAAGAGTTGGGAGTTACTGGAAGAGAAAAGACTAAATCTGTAGAGCAAGATAACGATTGACTGATGACTTAAAAGATTGCAAATTATATGAATCAGGAAAGCAAGATGAAGGAAGCGAATTCCAAAGAACTGATGTTCGAGGAAAAAAACTAGAAGAATAAGAGTTTTTGAAGCACTTAGGAACAGTCACAGAAAAAGGATGAGACTTAATTGAATGGCGAGTAACACGAGAATGAATTTTAGTAGATGGCACAAGGGACGCTAGCTCTTTAGAGCAGTGCCCATTATAGTATTTGTAGAAAAGAGAAAGAGAAGCAACATTACGACGATGTGACAAAGGTTGGAGATTGGCTGCCAGAGCAGGTCCAACTATGTTTACAATTCGTTTTTGCACCTTGTCTAAAAGAGAAAGAGCATCATTAGAAGATCCGCCCCAGATGTGGCAACAGTATTCCATACAGGGACGGATTTGAGATTTATAGAGATAGAGAATAGAATCTGGAGTAAGAAAGTGTCGAGCTCGATAAAGAGATGCAACCTTAGCAGATGCTAATTTTGCAATGGATTTGATATACGGTTTAAAAGAAAGATCAGAAGTAAGAGTTAATCCTAGAAGATGAATGGTAGATGACTCATCTAGTACATTACCATTCATAAATATAGGAAGATCTAAATTATTACGATAACGATTGGCCGAATAAAATTGAGTTTTATCTGAATTAAAGTTCACCAGCCACTGTGAGCCCCATGCTGTAGCAGAAGTGAGATCCTTTTCAAGCTCAGATACCCCCTCCAAGCAATCAGAGAGTGTAGGCTTCTTATCATGACAAGAGTAAATGGTGGTGTCGTCAGCGAATAATGCCACCTTAGATGTAAGAATATCTGGAAGATCGTTAATATAAATTAAAAAGAGTATAGGGCCAAGGATTGAACCTTGAGGAACCCCTGAAGTTACAGGATGTGAAGAAGAGTGTTGTCCATCGAGGACAACTTTTATACTACGATTTGAAAGAAAGGACTCAATAATCTTAAAGACGTTACCAGCTACACCATAAGAAGAAAGCTTATGGAGAAGACCAGCATGCCAAACTTTATCAAAAGCTTTAGAAATGTCAAGTGCGATAGCCTTAACCTCTCCACCTCTATCTAATGCACGGTAAAACCTATCGGTTATTACTGTTAGCACATCAGCTGTAGAACGAGAAGACCGAAATCCATATTGATGATCAGAAAGTAAGTTATTTGATTCAAGATGAGAGATTAAGTGTTTGTTGATTAAAGATTCAAAAACCTTGCTTATGACAGGAAGAAGACTAATGGGACGGTAGTTAGATGAATCAGATCGCTCTCCGGAATTTTTGAAAATAGGGATAACAGATGCTGCTTTCCAGCATGATGGAAAACAAGACTCTGATAAGCACTTGTTAAATAGTTTAGAAAGTATGAATGAAAGCTCCGGAGAACACCTCTGCAAGACTACAACAGGAATGTTGTCAGGACCACAAGCTGTTGAAGAGTCTAAGCAGGAAATTACTTTAGATACAGAAGCTGAAGTGATGCGAATGTCAAGCAAGGGATCAACCTGTTTGACGGCTATGTCAGGTAAAACGCAACTGGTGGAATCAAGAGATGATATTGATGAAAAGTTCTTAGCAAACAATTCAGCTTTGTCTTTAGGTGAGGTGACAAAGTCTGAACCATACAAGAGAGAAGGAATAACAGATTTGCCCTTATTATTGATACTGTTAAAGATTCTCCAGAAGTCTCGAGAGCCTAATTTTTGTGATGAGATACGAGATTTAATGACCTGGGAATAGCGAGTTTTGGCGTCAGACAAAACCTTTTTACAATGGTTTCTGGCGATAGTGAACAGATGTCTGTTTTCTGGAGAATTGTTTTGCTGATAGATATGGAAGTAACGGTTTCGATTAGAAATTGCTGCAGCGCAATGTGAGGAAAACCAAGGAGAAGAGTGAGGCTTGACCTGGAATCGTCGAGAGGGAATAAAAGATTCCATGCCAGCCTGAATCCACGAAGTTATGTAAGAAGCACATTTGTCAGCAGGAAGACGAAAGATTTCTACCCAAGGGCCATCACGAAGAAAATCACGGAAAGAGTCCCAGTCAGCTTTAAGGTAGTTGTATGTGGTACGATGATAGGGGGATTCTGATGAAGTAGAAGAATTTGATAATAGTTTTAGAGAGATCAAACCGTGATCAGAAGTACCTAAGGGTGAATGTGGAGAAATTGAGCACTGACTAGGATCCAAAACAAGACATAAGTCGAGTAGAGAAGGTAAATGATTAGGGTTGTCTGGAAAACGAGTTGGAAAGTTGACTATTTGAGTTAGAGATTGAGAAAGGCAAAAGTTGAGGGCCTTAACGCCAGCAGAGTCACTGACACTAGAGCCAAGCCAATCGGTGTGATGGGCATTAAAGTCACCAACAACGACGATATTGGCCGATGGATAAAGAGAGAGGGCTTGGTCAATTTGATCAGAAATAACATCAAGAATAGTGCAATCTTGGGATGAAGGAGAGCGATATAGAACAAAGAGAAAGGCGATAGAGTGAAGTTGTGCTAAACGAAAGCACATAAATGAATAGTCTGTAGATTCAAACCTAGTTTCACGACAAATGGGTGAGTTCTTACGAATGTAGATGCCCAGGCCAAGCATGTGATTATTGGAGTCTTTACGAATTAAAGGAAGATAACCATCAACACTAAGATCACAAGATGGGACAGCCGAACTCAAATTAGTCTCACAAAGAGCAAGTAGGTCTGGTGAACTTTGCAAGAGATAAGACTCAACAGAAGAAAAGTTACTTCGAAGACCACGAATATTAGTAAATGATAGGTTTAGAGAACCTGGTGATGACGATGGTTTTTTGTGTTTTTTAGTTTTAGGTACTTTAGTCATTTTAAATTTATAAAGAACTTGACTCAAGTATAGATAGTACTCAGTACACTATTTAACAACTAAGCAATAGCCTCATTACTATTAATAAACAATATATATATATATATATATATATATATATATATATATATATATATATATATATATATATACAGATAATACAATCAAAGCATAGATGAAATAAAACAAAATTGATTCATTGCCCTGCCCAGCTCGATCACCAAATTGGAATCCAAACAAATCTATTTGGGCTTGGTTGGACAAAGAATAAGTTATGGTCTTAATAAAATCCATAAATAGTCTAAAGCAAAGTCTAAAAGAAGTACTCTGAAAACTAAACCATTTAGATGTTTTTGTTTGTTTGTTTGTAAGATTAGGAGAAAACACTTTCTTCTTCTAAGGAAGTTGCTTGAATATTGTGGATGGCTAGTTCAAATTTCAAAGTTGCTTTATATTTCACACCAGTTGCTTCATATTCTTTTAACTTATCAGTGAAGGTCTTGATTTTTTTTTTTTTTTTGTTTGCTTATTGGTTTTGATTCATTTTTTTACTTTTTGTCTGCTAATTGGTTTTGATTCAGAGCTTCTTGAATTTTGGCAAAAAAAAGGATGTTGATTGTGATGATCCTACTTGTTTGTCTATAGCATGACCATGATTTTGGTTGGAGACTTTTTTCTTTAGTTACAAATAATTAATTAAATAATTTTGTAAATATTTTCATAAAAGCCTAAAAAAACTTGTGGTTTTTATTTTTAAATTCATCGAGATGTGCAAATAACAATTCAATGATACCAACATAGTTAACATAACATAATTTTATGATTTTTGTATCTGGCAATTAATGCTGCATAGTTAGAACTGATTTCATTATCTATAATCTTCAATTTGATAACTAACATTTCCATATTAATGTCACACTCCAAAATTGTTATATTTTGTTTTTTCAAGCAAACTGCAGTAGCAGCAATGACTTCCAATATATCAGCGATTTCAAAAAATCCAAGTCATTAAACATATCTCAAAAATTTTAGCCTTTAATCTTGTACAACCTGTTTCATGTCCTGTTGCCTGAAGAAAAGTAGTCGTGGTGTTCACTCACCTGTAAGTTAATACTTGTACATTTGTGTTCTTCTTGAACCTATGGCATGGTGTTAGCTCACCCATATGTTACTTTATGTATATTTGTGTTCTATGTGAACCTCTGTTAGTAAGTGTGAAATAAACATAAGTGACTTTCTGTTTATTTGTGTTCTGTTTGAGTCTCTGGTGTAGTGTTAGCTCAGTCATCAGCTAGTGACTACAACATTATATATGTTCACCTTAAGTTCCAGTATTCCTTTAGATATGTTTTTCTTAATGCATTAACAAAATCTGTTTTTGAATAGTGTTTACAGATGTAAGTTCTTTTAACTATTCAAGGTCAGTCAGTTTTAAGATCATCATAATCAAAAATATCTATCATGAGCAAATATTAACTGTATCCAGCTACTGTCTTGTAGAAGACTTCCTAGGCAAAAACTTTAGAAGTAAGCAGAATAATTCTGTTGACCAGCATCAAATTCTTTCGTCATTTATTAGGCTAGCGTAGATGTAAACCTGTGTTGCATTTATTTCTGCCTACAATGATGAATGCTGGATCTTTTTTACTCTAATCATAGATTTTAGCTTGTGCCTCCTTAAAGTGACTACCAAGTCCCGAGACATGTTGTGTTCATATTAAAGAGAATGTTAAAAAAAAAACGTCTGAGCAAATTTTTTTTGATTAAAATTAATTAATAAATGTATGCCAAGAAAAACAAATCTTGTTGTTTTAGTCGAAGGTTGTCTTCTCCATTTTCTGCGGTATTTTGAGTATGTAAAATAAACGCGATTTTCCAGGCGCATTATACAGACTTGATAATTTATTCAAGCGCGTTTAATTCATAAGAGTTTTAGTGCATGATGTCATAGATTTTTTTTTGTTTGTTTGTTTAAAACACCGATTGTTATTTTTTACATGCAATTTCCAAATCATCTTCATTTTTATCATATTTTAAAGTTCTAAAATGTGTTTGTAAAAAAATTAAAAACAAAATAGTATTTTATTTGCGCAACTTTTTTTAAATAATCGTCTAGACCACATGTATTTTGATTTTTTTTTCTAAGTTTTTCTTTCAAAATATTAGATAAAACAATTTTTAGCCTAAATAGTAATGCACTTTTATTAATTTACTTTGTAAATATTAAAAAAAAAATTATTAACACATTTTTTCTCTGATTTTCAAAAATGTATTTTTTGGTATTGAGGTGATTTTATTTCATTATTTATATTTCCATTATTATAACATCCAATATATATTATGGCGGGGGCTTAAAAATTAAAAAATTAATATATATTAATTTTTATTTTACAGACATACATGGAAACATAATTAACTTGGATGTTCTTAAGACATCTTGCGGAAGAATAAAAAGAATATTCTCGAACACTAAAAACCTGCCAAATTTGCGAACAAACTAGTTCTATTGGTTCAAAAAATACGCTGGCTAAGCGAAATAAAATTCTAGAGTATTCTGTTGAAATGTTTTAGGAATTGTATTATTTACGATTTGTTGCGTTTTGAGATATCTAGCATAATTTTTTTAAGAATATATTATCAAATGAACTATTACTTTAATATTATGGCTCATTCTCGGAGCCACATCTGTAAAGCCGTAAAACTTTTAAACTATTATTATTTGTTTACAAAAATAAATGTTTTATAATATATATTTTTTAAATTGTCAAAATTTTGAAAGTTAATTACAAATTACATATTTTATTAGTATATTCTTAATTTTTATATCTTTTCTTAGTGCTTGGTTTAATTAATTGTTTGTTAGATTTGTAAAAAACTAACGAACAATTAATAAAATAAACTTTTAATAAAATAAGTAACTATAGTTAGCTATTTTAGTAAAATTTAATAGTAAAATTTTTAAAGAATTTCTTGAATGTTTCCAATAATGTCATGCACTAAAACTCCTATGAATTAAATGCGCTTGAATAAATTATCAAGTCTGTATAATATACCTGGAAAATCGCGTTTATTTTACATACTCAAAATACCGCAGAAAATGGAGAAGACGAGCTTCGACTAAAACAACAAGATTTGTTTTTCTTGGTATACATATATTAATTATTTTTATTCAAAAAAAATTTGCTCAGACGTTTTTTTTTAACATTCTCTTTAATATGAACACAACATGTCTCGGGACTTGGTAGTCCTTTTAATAGTGGATATTCAACTCTTCCTGTTACCTCCTAATGAAGGTAAACAGTAGTAAAGCTTTAAAACTTTGTTTAATGTTTCTGAGGCTAGTAGTAAGGTTTCCCAAACTCAGTGGTAACTCTCAAAGAGGCTGATTCCATCAACAGCTGTAAAATATCAAAGTATTACCAGATTATCTCATGTCTTTTCCCTCTTCTCTTATGAATGTACCTCCTATGAACCTTCTGAATCCAGACTTGTATGGAAGTTTGTATTTCTTCTCATCAGTTTTAATCAAGCCTCATTTTATTCCATGTTTTTCACCTACTTTTGCAGCTGCTATATCTAATCGTAATCATTTTTTTCATATTTTTCAAAAAAACTCTCTTAAGAACAAACACTTTTATTATTGCAAGAAATCAATGTAAAAAGGTATTGTAAAAAAGCTGTCTGATATTAAGCTCCATTATTCTCAGTTTACTAAATCTTGTATCTTATCTCAGGTGGTTAGGTTCTAGAGAAAAAATCTTTGACAGTGTCATTAACAGTGTCTTTAACAGTTTCAAACATATGCAATTCATGGGTTGATCTTATCTCTCCAAAGGATAAGGCTGAATTAATTGCTCTGATTTGCTCTAACCTTTAATTTGCTCTAACCTTTCCTCTAATTTAATTTTTGAATCTAATTGCCATACTCTATCTGCTTTTCCAGTTAAACAGGTTAAGCATTGTTAGATATCCAAATCACTCTGGCTTCTGTTGCTAAACTTTTCTACAGCTTGTTGTCCAGACAACATTTCTGCCATAGTCTCGCAAAATTGTTTTCCAGAACTTTCTTCAATTCTCTCTAAGCTATTTAATAAGTGCTTGACCAAGTGAGACTAAATCTTGTTTTTCTGTCTGCTGAAAAATGTCATCTGTGGTTTGAATTTAAAGCCACAGATGCCATTTTTCAGAATCATTTTTAAAAATCTGGAGAACATTCTGACCCCCTCTATCTAATTATCATCCAGTCTTCTCTCTATTATTAATAAGGTATTTGATTCTTCAAATTTCTAACATCCTATCCTAAGTCAAATAACTCTTTGACAACCAGTATGGTTTTTGATTTTCTTGTTTTACGGCTGACTTGCTAACTCCTGTAAATGAAAGCTATTACACTTATATCTAAGTGGCTTTATTTGCTGAAAACTCAACTTTATACTCCTGTTTTGAAAATAAGTCTTCACTTTTTGATTGCTTAGAACAGGCAATCAGTCTTTAATCTCAACTTTTTTCTGTAACCGCTTGGGGCTTGTACTTGGGGCATTTCTGTTACCGCTTGGGGCTTGCAGTAGCTTGTGAATTTTATCTACAACAAAATTCCTTAATCAAACAACTATCATGATATTGTTGAATTTCTTAACTGATGATAAGCAACCAGCTCACTGATTCCTCTATTTGAGGTCTTCTTGGGTTTTCACTTACTACTGACCTCTCATGGAAACTATATATACGATTCATAAAATGTTAGCATCTGCTGAAGTATTTTTTTTTTTTAACATGCTTGCCATTTTCTTACTCGTGATTTCATTCTCTACAAATCTCTTAATTGTTCCTGAATGGAATACTGTTCTCAGATCCCTTCTCATATCTAGGTTGGTTCTTCTAATGATGCTCTTTCTCTTCTAGATATGGTCATATTATAAACATACTAAAATTGTATTGTAAACATAGTTAGACTGGCTTTTTCTGCCAATTTCGAGCCACTCTCCCAACACCGTAAGATTTCATCTCTTTCTCTTTTCTACAAATACTACCATGGTCGCTTCTTAAAGGAGCCATTATCTCTAGTTCCATCAACAAAAGCTCATTCTTGCTTGACTTATTGTTCAGCAAAGTCACCTTTTTATTGCATCTGTCACATCATGCTCTAAATACTTTTATTCATCTGGTATCATTTTATTATTACACTATTGTTATAGTTTTTTTGTCATCCAGTATGCAAGATTTGTTTAACAATTATTTTTTTTAATTTGTATTTATTATCATTTTATTGATCTTAAATATTTTATTGACAGTATAATATTTTAAAGTATTTTCATTTTCTGTATAATATATTTTAACAGTATTGTTAAAAAATCTGTTATTGATATTTAGAGCAAAATTTGAATCATTGTGCAGTTTTGTTTTTTCTAAATGTATGGAATTGGTTGATGAATTGCTTATAGAAGCTAGTTTTAAAGTAACAGATATAGACAAAGTATGTTACTATATTTTGCAATTCTTTATTTAGATTACTTCAATTATTTTTAAATTTTTCTTTTTTCTTTTTATATTATTTTTATTTATATATTGTATTTATATTATATTAGGTAATCTTAGTTGGTGGTGGGAGTCGCATGCCTCGCTTAGTCCAGTTAATGAAAAATAAGTTTGACTCTTCAGAAATTTTAAATACAATTCATACTGAGGAAGTGTTAGCACAGGGAGCTGCACTTCAGGTGAATTTTTTTAATAAAAATATAGTTAAGGTGGCTCAAGTAATTTAAATTGGCTTATTATTAAACAGAATAATAGTGCTGATAGTTAATGATGAGGTTTTTCTCTCTTTTTTTTAAATAGGCTGGTTTACTGCAAGGTCGGGATGATACACTAAATACTGATGTTTTTAACTTGAACTGTGTTTCAAAAAATATAGGCATAAAGGTAAGGTTTTTAAAATAATTTAAAAGTTCTTCTTTCAAAGTTTTTTTTGTTTGAGCTTTTTAATTTTATTGCTGATTCATCTTGAGTCATTAAGATTGATTGTTAAAAAAAGTTGAAGTATTTTTTATTAGACTTTGTCAATACCTAAAGTTTGAAACTTATGTTTTAAATTTTAGGTGTTGACAAGATGTAATAAAAAATACTCCAGTAGGTGTAGCCACTATTTAACTTAAAACAAGTTTATATATATATATATATATATATATATATATATATATATATATATATATATATATATATATATATATATATATATATATATATATATATATATTTAATTTCTCAGAAAAAGAACAAAAAATAAAGAATAATGAAAGAAAAGATTGCTGCCCATGCCCAACCCTCAGTCAATATAGCAGCACCCTTATGTTTAAAGCTATATTTAAAACATATTACAACATCATATTATATATATATATATATATATATATATATATATATATATATATATATATATATATATATATATATATATATATATATATATATATATATATATATATAAAACCTATATTTAAAACATTATAGTTTAGTTTATTCAGTAATCGATCATAAAATTACAACAAAAAATTAAAGCCAAAAATAAAAATAAAATGATCAATGAAGATGGGCAGCACCAGGCTCCTCTGTTCTGACAGTCTTGTGCTGCATACAAAGCAACTATAATTAGATAAAAAAGTTTTTAAAGCAGTTGACACTTTGCGCATCAATAGTGTTTTGCAGGAGAGCATTTTAGTGACGTACAATTTGATTTGTAAAAAAGTATTCTCTTTCAATACAATTTTTTTTTTTTTTAAACATCTTCGCCTCCAACAAGACTGCAAGCAACCACTAATTAGTGTTGGAAGTTACTAGAAGAGAAAAGATGAAGGTTGTAGAGCAAGATAACGATTGACAGATGACTTAAAAGATTGCAAATTATATAGATCAGGAAAGCAAGATTTCAGGAAGCGAATTCCAAAGAACTGATGTTCGAGAAAAAAACTAGATGAATAAGAGTTTTTAAAGCACTTAGGATCAGTAGCAGAAAAAGGATGACACTTTATTGAATGACGAGTAACACAAGAATGAATTTTAGTAGATGGCACAAGAGGCGCTAGCTCTTTAGAGCAGTGCCCATTATAGTATTTGTAGAAAAGAGAAAGAGAAGCAACATTACGACAATGTGACAGAGGTTGAAGGTTGGCTGCAAGAGCAGGTCCAACTATGTTTACAACGCGTTTTTGCACCTTGTCTAAAAGAGAAAGGCCGTCATTAGAAGATCTGCCCCAGATATGGCAACAGTATTCCATACAAGTTCGGATTTGAGATTTATAGAGATAGAGAATAGAATCCAGAGTTAGAAAGTATTGAGCTCGATAAAGAGATGCAACTTTAGCAGATGCTAATTTTGCAACGGATTTGATATAAGGTTTCCAAGAAAGATCAGAAGTGAGAGTTAATCCTAGAAGATGAAGGGTAGATGACTCATCGAGTACATTACCGTTCATAAATATAGGAAGGTCTAAATTATTGCGATAACGATTGGCTGAAAAAAATTGAGTTTTATCTGAATTAAAGTTCACCAGCCACTGTTAGCCCCATGCTGTAGCAGAAGTGAGATCCTTATCAGTAATCAGAGTGAGTTGGCTTCTTATTGTGACAAGAATAAATGGTAGTATCATCAGCAAACAATGCTACCTTAGATGTGAGAATATCTGGAAGATCGTTAATGTAAATTAAAAAGAGTATAGGGCCAAGGATTGAACCTTGAGGAACCCCTGAGGTTACAGAATAAGAAGATGAAAATAGGGATAACAGATGCTGCTTTCCAGCAGGCTGGAAAACAAAACTCTGATAAGCACTTGTTAAATAGTTTTGAAAGGATAGATGACAGTTCAGGAGAACACTTCTGCAAGACTATAACAGGTATATTGTCCGGGCCGCAAGCTGTAGAAGAGTCTAAGCAGGAAATCACTTTAGATACAGAAGCTGCAGTGATATGGATGTCGAGCAATGGATCAACCTGTTTGATGGCTATATCAGGTAGAGCGCAACTAGTGGAGTCAAAAGATGATATTGATGAAACAACTTGGTAAACAATGATTTACTCTTTGTTTACCAAGGCTCTGACTGTGACTTTGAAAATTGTAATTCAGTCTAGCTAAGTGTTGCGTCTGTGGGACATAAAAAAAGATCTTGTCAATGTTTCAAGTGATTTTGAATTGCTTATTTAGGTCGCCCCGTGTTCTGCGGTTTTCAAGAGTTGATAAACTTAATATTTGCAATCTTTGGGCCTATGGTAAATGCTTTATTAGTGCAACCGTTTTTGTCGCACACTTCTACACTTTTTCTAGTGTTTCAATGTCACGTTTTAGAAACGGCAGCCAGGCTTGTATCGCGAACTCGAGATGCGGGCGAATATAAGCTATATACAATGTTCTCCAAACAACGATACCTCGACTACGGAATGCTTTTTTTAAGCCTACCAAGTACTTGATTGGCCGTTGAGGCTGCTGTCTCAACTTGATTTTTTAGTTTTAAGTTATCTGAGACTGTAACTCCAAGGTCTCTTTCGTTCTTTGTAACTGCAAGTTTTATTCGTGATCCATCTTTGCTGCACATTGAATATGAGTGTGTTGACCTTTTGGCTCCACAGCCTATATGCATTACTTTGCATTTTACTACGTTGAAAGGCATGCACCCAACTCTGGACCACCATCATTTTGTAATATTGAACCGTCATTTTCAGATTTGATGATGCCAATGATTTTGCTATCATCTGCATATAATTTGATGTGATGCGCAATGTTGTTTGGAAGATCGTTGATAAAAAGGACAAATAATAAAAGTATAATATAATATTATATATATATTGCAAGGTTGTAGGTTCAAATTTTTTCTAACTCAGTATTTGAGTAGTTATTTGGTACAAAGGGGCTTGTCTTGAATAATTTTGCTATTGCTATTTTTTTTTTTTTTTAGTCAAATAAAAAACCAATTTTGTAAAAATTGATTACTGTTGTTTATATTTTTCCATGTTGTTTTGTTTAATTTTTTATATTGTGTTGTGTTTTATGTTTAAAATATTTTACATTTTAATTTTCACATTTAAATTTTTTTTATTTTATTAAATTATATACATTATTCAAGCCTTCCTGGGAAGTGCGTGCGGTTGCAGGCCTTTTTCGTTCATACCTAAAGTAATTTTTTTAGACAACTTGATCACGTTTTTACATAGAAAGCATTTTAAGAATTTTCAGCAAAATAATGCTATAAGAAACTACAAAAAATAAAACAGCAATACTCAAAGAAAGGAAACAAATACTATAAGAAATAAATAACTATAAAAATAAATTAAACTAAAAAAAAAAAGTAAAATAAAAAAAGTAAAATTTGTCAAAAAAATAATATCTAAATATTTTACTATTTTTGCTTTCTTTTCTTTTTTTTAGGGCGTTTGTTATTTTCCACTAACAAATTAATACAAGTTGAGAAAAAAAGCAAATAGTAATATAATGAAAATAAAAACAATTTTTTATATACAATTTTTTTGCGTTTTTTTTTTTTTCAGTCAGTATATTATGGAAATACTTTATAATTTGTGCTAGAAACATGGAAAATTTTTTGATTTGTTTTTCAAGTGTTTTTGCTAAACTTTACTGTTTTTATCAATGAAAGCAAGTATATGACCAGAAAGCAAGAAAACTAATTGCTATTTATTTGTAAGAATTTTTTTTTTCTAAATAATTTTTTTCATGTAAAAAAATAAAGTCATAAGTATTAATATTTAATTATAAAATATTTTTTTGTTTTCACTAGCCCCATTGAAATAGTCTGCACTTTTGTTGGATTATCCCAATTGTGCATTTAAACCCGAAAGTTTATTTCCTGATGAACTATTGTTATTGACAATGCTCCTAAAGCTTGTGGGCTAGTGCATTGTTAATTTACTGAACTTTTTAATGAAATATTTAAGAGGCTATTTAAATTTTTTTTTTAAGTTTTAAAATACATTTTTTCAAATAGAGCAATTGTTTATTATCTCTAATAATTCCTATTAACGTTATAAATTGGGCAATAAAAAAGAAACACTTTCTGACATGTATCAAATGCAGTAAATACATTTATAAAAGAAACCATGTAATTCTTTTATTTAATTTATTCCGTCATTACAAAATTTATTGTTCAAATAATATATTTTACAAATAAATAGCAAATTATTTTCATATTTTCCTATTACATAAGTATAAAAAACGTCAAATAAAACAAAAACATTTTTAAAAGCAAAAATACATCAAAATGAATAAATGTAAGAAAAAAATTAACAAAATTTCTCATAGTTCTAGCGTACATAGCAAATTAGTTTTTTAATTTTACTGAGTGATAAAAATCATGAATAAATTGCATATCAAACTTTCAATTGTTGTTAAATTGTTATAAAAGATAATATGTGTTTTGCATTAATTGTATAAAATTCGGTATCTAAAAACAACAACCACTCTAAAAAAAAACAACAACCACTCTAAAAAAAACAACAACTACTCTAAAAAAAACAATAACCACTCTAAAAAACAACAACCACTCTAAAAAAAACAACAATCACTCTAAAAAACAACAACCACTCTAAAAAAAACAACAACAACCACTCTAAAAAAAAAACAACAACCGCTCTAAAAAACAACAATCACTCTAAAAAAAACAACAACCATTCTAAAAAAAACAACAACCACTCTAAAAAAAACAACAACCACTTTAAAAAACAACAACCACTCTAAAAAAAACAACAACCACTCTAAAAAAAACAACAACCACTCTAAAAAAAACAACAACAACCACTCTAAAAAAAAAACAACAACCGCTCTAAAAAACAACAATCACTCTAAAAAAAACAACAACCATTCTAAAAAAAACAACAACCACTCTAAAAAAAACAACAACCACTTTAAAAAACAACAACCACTCTAAAAAAAACAACAACCACTCTAAAAAAAACAACAACCACTCTAAAAAAAACAACAACAACCACTCTAAAAAAAAAAACAACAACCGCTCTAAAAAACAACAACCACTCTAAAAAAAACAACCATTCTAAAAAAAACAACAACCACTCTAATAAAAAACAACAACCACTCTAAAAAAAAAACAACAACCACTCTAAAAAACAACAACCACTAAAAAACTTTTTTTCTCAGTAAATAAGTTTAGCTTTTTGCCACAAATTATTAAAATGCTTTATAAGTTAAAAGATGCAAACTACCGTGGTCAGTGTGTCTAAAAAAATACTTTAAACAAGGAAAAACAAGGCGAGCGACCGCACACGCTTCCCGGGAAGGTTTGATTTTCTATAAAATATAAAAAGTGAACTTTTTTTTATTAATTTTTAATTCAAATCCAATAGGTTAGCAAGTATTTTATCAAGTTATTGAATCCAATGACGTGTTACCTACAAAAACTGTGACATGTTACCTACCAAAACTGTGTGACATGTTACCTACAAAACTGTGTGTCTCTGTTATTCAGTTAATTTTCACTCGTGATTTGTTTTAATCTTTCTAAAAAGTGTATAGTTTTTTTTTTCTGCATCAGTGTTTATCATATATACAAATCAAGAATACACAAAAATCCCTTGTTGTGTTGCTCTTTGACTTTGTTGTGACAGATTTTAAAGTCTAGTAATTGTTTTAATCATCCTTTTTATTAAAACTCCCATCCTTAATAATGATCTGCATCCTTGTTTGATGTAAGTTTGTATTTTGTTTTAATCCATCATTTTTATTATTTTACTGTTTTATATATATGATATATAAAGAAGTTTGTTTATTGCCTCATTTAATGTTATTTCTTTTAGTTAGCAAATGACGACAAATTATGTATACTTCTAAATAAAAACACTCCTGTACCAGTGAAAAGAAGTGCAAACTTAACTGTCCCAGCTTCTCAGGTAATTTGAATTTAAAGAGATATTTTTTAATGTTAAACTATTTTTTTTAGATATTCAAAATGTCAAAAAAGTGCATACCTAATCAAAAATTAATTAATTAATTTCAATTCAACAAGTCAAAAAAACATAAACAATGTTTATGTTTAGTTTTGTTTCATCTTATTTTTTTCTTTATATTGTCTCAAGCTTTGTTATTAAAAAAATTAACAACCTGAGAAGTCAATAAACAACAAAAAATAAAAAAACTATTATTGTTAATAATAAAAATGAGAAGTCATTAAACAGTCTTCGATGTGAAATGCCTCTAGTCAACTGTAGTACCTGGATTGCTACGTCAGCAAATATGAATATTACTCAAATGATTACAACTATATTTTAGTCAAATAACTTGTTGTAGTAGTTGTTTTAGTTGTCAAAATATAATACAAGTTACAGTTAATTTCCTTAAGAAAGAAACAATATCTATTAGAGTTTTACTTATATAATTAACTTGCACAATTAAGATAAATTTTTATTTAAAGTAAAAAAAACTCTTTCTGCATTTGGTTTCTTTAATAGCATTGAGATCATTAATTGGTGTGTTGAGATGGATGAGTTAAAAGCAAAATAAAGAAGAGTGTTAAATGTAAAATAATACTGAAAAAATATCTTTTTTTATTTATAACATTATAGATTTACTATCTCTCTCCCCCCCCCCCCTCCCTCCCCTCTCTGTCTTCTCTTAGAAATACATAATGTAAAATTATCATTCTAATTAAATCGGGCCACTCTCGTACGTTTACCACTCTCGTGAATTTTTTAGATTTTTACTCATTGACTTTGTCTACAGTCGATTCTTAAATGTGACTTGTTATGATATTGACATTACTAAACCATATATGAGGTCTACTATAACGTATGGCAGGTAGAGCAGGTCTAACTACCTGTACAATAAATTTTGGATCTTGTCTAGAAGAGAAAGATTATCATTAAAAAAACCAGCCCAAATATGGCAATAGAATTCCATACAGGGACAAATATGAGATTTGTAAAGTTAGAGAATTAAATAAGGAGTAAGAAAATGGTGAGCATGATAAAGAGAAGCAACCTTAGTAGTTAGTAATTTAGCAATTGATTATTTATATGGTTTCCATGAGAGGTCAGTAGTAAATCAGTAGTAGTAAATGATTCAGGAAGATGTAAAGAAGAGGACTCAGTCAGAGGTTTGCCATTCATCAATATAGGAATGTCAACAGTATTGAAATAGTTGTTTGCAGTAAATAACTAAGTTTTGTTTGGAGTTAAAATTCACAAGTTACTGCAAATTGTTGCAAGCCCTAATCTGTTACAAAAGTGAGATCAGATTCAAGATTGGCTGTCTTTTCTAAGTGATCAAAAAGAATAGAGTTTTTGTCAAGACAGGAGTATAAAGTTGAGTTGTCACCAAATAGAGTCACTTTAGATGTAAGATCATTAAATGTAGATAAGAAACGAAACAGGACCGAGAAACAGGACCGAGGTTACTTACAATACTTCTCCAAATTGTGCTTTTTTTTTTGGTCTTAAAAGCTTATAATTTATATCCTCAAATGCCTTGTGAATGTTGTGCACTAAATACACAACATTCTCTTACTCAGAGTCAAATTTGGTTGAGAGAACTGGGTTCTGGGTTCACAATATGCTATGTTTTCTGGGTTCACAATATGCTATGTTTTCTGGGTTCACAATATGCTATGTTTTCTGGGTTCACAATATGCTATGTTTTCTGGGTTCACAATATGCTATGTTTTCTGTGTTCACAATATGCTATGTTTTCTGGGTTCACAATATGCTATGTTTTCTGGGTTCACAATATGCTATGTTTTCTGGGTTCACAATATGCTATGTTTTCTGGGTTCACAATATGCTATGTTTTCTGGGTTCACAATATGCTCTTTTACTTGAAATGTTGTTAAAGGTAATCCATTTTTCATCTCCAGTTTCATCCAGTTCAAAAAAGACTTAATTTTTTTTTCCAAACAAGTAGAGATATGCAATGATAACTTGATCATCCAAGTTCCTCTGATTCATTTAGCACCTATTTCAATTATTTCCACGCCAATTTTATCTTCCAAATATGGTTTGAAATAACTTAAATGATCAAAGATTTTCACTCATAATATGCTTATGAGAAAGGTCAAAATCACCTGTTTCAAATTTTTTTTTCATACCATTTTATTTTTATTTTTATTGTTATTTACCTCACCAGAGCCGAGAGAGTCACTACAGTTTAGAAGGCTACTTTATTGTGGTTACAACTTTCTCTAAACTCATTAACTCTGAAACACACACCTTGACGAACAAGGCTGCTACATGGAAAAACAAGTTGATCTTCTGCATGCTCTTTCAGAACTGTGCCTTTACCAAACACTTCCAATAAATTTCTGTGTCTCTGTAGCTTTTCTTTAACGTTAAAATTTGTTTAAAATACAGTAATATAAATAAACTTTATCATTAGCCATGGTTACACTATTGCTTCACACTTAAGACTAATGTGAACCAACTTTATTATAGTGAAGCAACATTAATATGAATGCATTATATAGTAAAAACATGGAGTCAAACATGCACTGCAAAAAATAAATTCTTATTTTAAGCAAAAAAAACTTGTTTTAAGCAGTTTTTTACTTAAAACAAGTAATTTTTTACTTGTCAGTATGATAAACAATTTTTTACTAACCAAGAATTTTTTTGCTGAGCAAGATTTTTTTTAAATTCTTGCTTAGTAAAAAAAATCTTGCTTAGTAAAAAAATTCTTACTTAGTAAAAAAATTCTTGCTTAGTAAAAAAATTCTTGCTTAGTAAAAAAAATCTTGCTTAGTAAAAAAATTCTTACTTAGTAAAAAAATTCTTGCTTAGTAAAAAAATTCTTGCTTAGTAAAAAATTGCTTACCATACTGACAAGTAAAAAATTGCTTGTTTTAAGTAAAAAAACAGTTTTTTTTTGCTTAAAATAAGAAATCATTTTTTGCAGTGTGTACACATGTGTACATACTGCAAAAAATGAGTTCTGTATCGCGATATTAGGAATAACTTCTACAACATGGGCAAAAAAAGCTTGTTTTAAGAAAAAGATATATTTATATCTATACAAACAAAAATACTATTTTTCATGATATATATACACACTATTCTATGCACAGTGCTCCACTGCGACCGCCAGGGTAAATTTTGGTTTAGTCCAATTTTTTTTGGCTGAAGGTTATTATTAGGTTTAAAAAAGAAGTTTTGAATTGTTTTTAAAATCAAAACTAACTGCTAAGGTATAAAAATATTTGATTTGGTTCATTAATCAGAACTCAGTTTGACGGTCAAATATTGGCGGTCCCCAGGCCGATCCATATATATATATACATATATATATATATATATATATATATATATATATATATATATATATATATATATATATATATATGTATATATATATATATATATATATATATATATATATATATATATATATATATATATATATATATATATATATACATATATATATATACATATATATATAAACATATATATATATACATATATATATATATAAGAATTATTAATATATAGTACAATAATTAAAAAATTAATATAATATTATATACAACAAAATAAAGAATAACAAAATAAAGTATTATTTTAAATTATTTTTTCCAAATTCTACAACACTTTTTTTTAGCTGTGTTCCATAGTCATTATGTTCTGAACATCGTTTATACCTCTTCCATACTTGGTAGTGGTGGTGGTGTGCACTCTCCCCTGCTTGTTCAGCATAAACACCTAAACCATGTTTATTATGTTGAAGAAATGGATAAAGATGGCAAAGTATATGAACTTTCCAGCTAACATTTAATTGGTATTCAAAGCTATCTTTCAGTTAAACTTGAAGTCTTTGAAATGAATCTTTGAAGTCCAAAACAGATTCAGACAAAAAAATTCCCCTACTTTTATTCTAAATCCGTTATTTTTTACTATAGAAAATTTTCTGATACAACAAATAACTGGAAGAAGCAATCTTATTTTTGGATCTGTTAAGGCTGTACTCATCAGGTTAATCTCTAGATTATCTAAATTGTCTAAAAACCTTTGTGCATTATTGCCATCTAACCCAATCCCATGGTAGTCTCGTAACATAATATTATTAGTTTTTAGCCATTGCTCAAATCCAGGCCACAGAGCAATTAAAATCTTCACAAACATTGAAATAATCCCAATAAATAGGTGAAGCTCTGGAGGTGGGATGCCAATGTTTCAACCAATGTTTCTGAAGGCTCATCAAGATAAAGAATTCTTTGAGAAACACAATTTTTGAACTCTTTCATTTTCTTATGTCTGCAACCATCAGCAACAAACTTCTTGTAGTTGATGTCTATGGATCCAAACGTCCTTTTTACACCACTTTCAAGTAAGCATTCACCCTTGCACCAAAGACATGGAAATTTGCCACTGTAGCTATTTAGACCAAATAAAGAATTTCAGCATTTAAGATCAAATGCAACTGAATATTTAACATCTTCCAACCGCAGTGGAGCTAAAAGTAAATTAAGGTTTCCAATTCCATTGTTCTTTTTTTTTAATATAAAAACATTGTGTTCAGAAACTCTACTAAAGACAAAATTATTGATCGTTTTACACCAGCATCATCAAGCTTTTTTGAGCTTGAATGCTTGACTAAAGGATCAAAAACATTCAAAACACATTACAGAAATCCCTGTCCTGAATCAACTGAAATTCTTGCTATACTGGAATAAGGATCTAAGTCTCTCGTTCATTGTGTGAAGAATAAGATCTGATGTATTTTTAACAAACACTAGGCTACGAGTTAACTTTTCATCTCCTGATACAAATGTTTCTTTAACAACATCATAAAACTCTGACAAAGAATCATGTAATCCTTCCATTTGAAGCGTGATATTGGTATCAACCATGTTTTTACCTAGGTTTTCACGTAAGTTAGTGCAAAGAATCTTTGTTTTTCTTTTGGA